CAACAAATTTTCGATTCAAAATCACAACATAATTCCAGGAATAGGAGTCGTAGAATTTATTAATTATACAAAAACATAGAAACATAGGTCTCATAATTAAAATCAAATCCCAAGAGTCCAAAGTTATAATTCCTTTGTATGTCCTCAGAACCAGTCAGCAATTTGTGATCCCAAAAGAAATAAAGGAGGAAAAACAAGTTCTCAAAAAAGAGGTCTATAAAAAAAACCCCTTTCCTAAGTCCTTGGAATAAATTTTCTCAAATGCGATCCCGACACCCAATTTCTACCTCGTACCTCATCAAACTCTTCGATCTCATAAGCCCCATGCTCATATTTTCTGATAATACGATAGGGCCCCAACCATCGACTGTCCAATTTCCAAGACCATTGTTTTTCCAAGGACGAATCATAGAGAAGTACGATACCCCCTACTTCCAACGGTTCCTTACGAACGCGAGGCCCCTTATCCCATCTTTCCTTGTCGGCCTATAACTACTCTCTGAAGTAGAGGCAGCGGCCTCCTCAATCCTTTCCTCAGCGATCATCACTTGGCTTGCCCTCAATTCCAACAACTCCTCCGTTGAAAGCTTCGTTTCCACATCCTGGTTTCTCCAAGTGGTAAGAAAACTTTCGATAAGAAAAGTTGCATGACGCCCAAACCACAATATAACTGGAGCGAATTCAGTTGTCCGCTTTATGGTGACATTCTCAACAAAGAATGTCGTTCTCAGATATATCGGTCACCTTGACAGATCATCTTCGCACCATTTTACCAACAAATTTGTTAGAGTGGTATGTCCACGTTCAACTGACGCATTGGCTTGGGGATGTACACTTGTAGTATAGCTAAAGCTTACTCCAAGTTTCTTCATAAGCGTCTGCACTTCCCCAACCCGAAACTCACCACCTCGATTCATGACAATTTTCCGGACAAATGGGTACCGAAGATAATATTCCTCAATGCATTCTGCTAAAACATGTCCAGTACGCTCGTGAATGGCACAACCATCAACGAACCCAGTAAGATTATCCCTTGCAAAGAAGATATATTTGTACCTATTTATCTCAGGTGGCATGACCAATAGATCAAGATGTACTACTGCTCCCGGCTCAGCGATATAGCGTGGATTAAGAGGTTCAACAAAACGTAGATTAGATCATTTTTGGCAAGGAAGACAAGAGTTACAGAAGTCAATTACCATCTTATTCATTCCTTCCCAAAAATAAAGGTATTTAATATTTTTCAAAGTAACTCGTGCCGATCTATGTCCGCCTGCGACCCCATCATGCAAAGCTGCAATCACATCAAGTTGTCGCGTAACCCCACATACCACTCTTCTCGGAATATCATCGTTGGATTTCTTGAAAAGATGACCATATATTACAACAAAATCCTTACTTTTCGAACGAACAACTGGATCCACCTCATCCTCCCTCAACTTATCATTCAACCACATTTCCATTAATTTATACTCTTCATCATACTCTTCTTCTCTGAAAGCTTCTCTGATTTCACTGTCTTCTGCTTCTTCATTCATCATTTTTAGGCAGTCCTCGTGAATTAGAGAATTCACAAGGAATGGCATCTCTTCAGTGATCCCGAAAGTCTTATCGGCCTGCTCATGCCAATACTCAATCGTCAGCGGCTCTTTGATGAGCTCGACTTCATCAGACAAAGCCAAGTTCATCATTTGCTCAGATGTTCTTTCACCCCATGGGTTTTCCTCAATGAACAGCTCCCCAATCACAAGCTCTGATCGCACATGATGGAAACAATGAGCATTCCAGATGGTTTTCCCATGCCGGGTTGTTGCATCCGCCAAATAATTGTATGGGTTAATACTCAGCCTGATCCGTCGATGAGACCCAATCAACACGACTCAATCCATCTGCTCGATTCTGAGTGCCTGAAATGCGCTCAATCTCAAAATTGAACATCCAAATATACGTCAGTCATCGAGCAATGGTTGGATCAGAAAGGAGAATAGTTCTTCAATGATTGAGCTAGATCCGTAGGATCAACTCGCAGAATGAACCGTCTGCCAAATACATAATTCCTGAAAATATGCAGACATTGAAGCACAGCGAGTGTTTCCTTCTTGAACTGGGAGTAGTTTCGCTCAGTAATATTCAAAATTTTGCTCTCGAACCTCAATGGCCGTTCCCGTCCTTCCCCATCCTTTTTGACCAAAACTCCTCCTAAAGCGGTAGGACCTACATCGGTCTCGATGATGAAAGAACGGCCTTCAGCATCATCAAAGCAAGGAACTCCCAGAATCAGGCCGCCTTATCGAAACTCAGCTTTAATATCCTCAACGGTTGCCTGCTGCTTCGGTCCCCACTCCCAGACCTGATTCTTGCGTACTAACTTCCGCAAGTGTTCCACCCTTGCTGCGAATTTGTGGATAAAAATACGCCAAAATCCACAAGTCCCGAGAAAACTCCGAATGTAGGTAATAAATCTGAAGGGAGTCGGTCACTCCAAAATCTTATTCGTTTTTTTGGCATCTGGCCGACGACCCTTCTCATCACAAAGGAATCCCAATATTACCGCCTTCCTCATGCCATGCCTTGATTTAACCCCACTAGCTGTGAGGTTATACTCCTTCAGTTTCCTCAGAACCTTTTCCACATTGGTGATGTGTTCCCACACGAACTTTCGAACGCCGGGTAACACTTCAGTCTCGTCCTTGACTTGGGGTCCTGGGATAGCCAAATCATCAATACATGGAGTAGTCACGTCTGGACAAAGTGGCTGCATGACTCTCATCATATATCTCTGCACAATTGTCACGGCATTTGTCCAACCTTGCGGAGCCGCACACATATGAAGCAGTCCCGGAGGCGTATGCATCGCTGTCATAGGTGGATCCGTTGTGTAGAGCGGGAACTGATCATACCCTGAATATAAATCAATTAGGGTGATGATGGGCCTGCCTGCACAAGATTCCGAGAGTTAATCGACGTTCGGAAGTCCGCCCGCATCTCGAACTGTTACAGAATTCAACTTCTGCAGGTCCTAAACCCATCGCAAAACACCGTTCGGCTTGATAAAGCAGAACCAAGGAGACGCATACGGCCCATACGAATAGTCTGCCACTTTGGTCCGAATCTTACCATCAAGATAATCCACCACCTTCCGATGATCGTCTGGATTCGGATATCGTGGGCCTCTCACATTCCATGGCTCATGTGGTATCGTATGAATCCGGATCATTGGAATCATATCGACGTCCAGCCTTCCACGCTCATCATCATCAAAAGCATAAGCAAGATGAACTTTCTTCATAACGTCGATAAAGAATTGGATTTTCTCCTTAGTAAAAAGATCATCCTCTCTAATGATCATCTCCTTCACCCTGTCTTCTGTCAATCGACACGGCCCCTTCTCACCTTTCTCCTTCAACGTTCTGATCCACTTGCGTTCTTCCTTATAATACACTTCCTTTTCCTGAGTGATCAGAACTGGCACTGGCCGCGCCTTCTCTCCTACTTTCTTATACTTCCTCTTGGACCCAACGCTGAGCTTCCGTCCCCTAAAAAAAACTTTTGCCTGGTTGATGGTAGTGATTTATCCATGCGAGATCCATTTGGCCGATAAACAAGATGCATGGTTCCTGCACCTTTCTTGTCAACCACAGCCTCCATCAGGGCCTTTACCAGGCTCGGATCAATTGTAGGATGACTTGCTGCAAAATCGACTGCCTATGAGATACTTGGCAATGACAACGAAAACTTCTGAGGATCCCTTTCTTCATCGATCGCCTCTTTCTCCCTCCTCAACTTCTCAGACTCTAAGAAGGTATATGATTCGGGATTCAATCGGTTCCTTGAATTTGATGGTCCGGTATTCGCGCACTTTACCACTTCATAATAGCCGCAAACCGGATCGCATAAAGCTACAAACATGGTGCCGTCATGCTTGTTAAAGATTATGCTCTCTATGCGACATTGAAAGGACCTTCCCAAAAACACTTCGTGTTCAACCTTTGACAATATATAAAAATATGATCTCGCTTTTACCTTCCCAACTATGACCATTACGCCACTAGCCGTACATAAAAATGGCGTTGCCCCGCTGACTCCAATCAAAAATCCAAAGTCATTGCGATTGATCTGAACCCCACCTCCAATCGCATGCCTCTCTCTCATAATGTTCATCTCGGCCCCATCATCTACGACCGATTTGAACTTTTATGAGATCTGTGGCCACGCATCGCCAGTCCATCTTCGTGCCAGGACGAACCCAGGTAGCTTTTGGAGGGATGATCTCGCTCAGCTTGACTACCATCACTTTCTTCCGAGTCATGCGCTGCTTAAATTCCTCGTGGAGCTTCGGCGATACTGCAAGAATCTCCTTCAGGGTAACCAGATCACGCTGACTTTCCAGAATACGATACACCAGCTGTTCAAAACCATTCTCTTGTTCAACAGGGTTTGAGTACACGTTATTCTTTTTGCGAGGTTCTTCTTCCTCGACCTGGGTCTTTCCTGCTTCCGACGGTCTTTTCATAGCTCTCTGCTTTGCTGGCAGTTCATCCTCTGCTCGCAATCTTTCATCCTCCTCATCATCATCCTTTTCTTCTACCTGAATAGGTTCTTTTTCCTAAGGTTCCTTTGAACTTTCTCCTGGCGCAGGCTGCGATTGTGAGGTCTTCCTTCCTTTCCTCGTTTGCACCATGACGGTTGGCATCCCTCGCTTGAGTACTGGTCTGGACATCATCATTGGTCGTGTCATCGGCGTTGCTTCAGATGCCGAAGCGGTCGCAGGTGCTGATCTGTCCGGACCTTCGTTCCCCCATCCACCAAAAAGGAACACATTAGGAAGATTCGGCTAGACTTTTTCCATGTCAACACATAATTGAACAATGAAATCTCGACATTTGCCCAGTTTCTTGGTCACTTCTCGCGCCCGATGAGCAATGTCTTTTTTCCTTTCCTCCAAGTTTTTTTCGTCACACCTACCAATCTCCAGAGAAGCCATTGTTTCTTCTAACTCAAAAAGGTTTGCTTCTTCAGGAGAAGCTATCCGGAATGTAGCCGGAAGAGGACGGCCCATCCGTCGAAAAATTTATTTTCTCATTCCTCCTTTAATATCCTGATCGATGAGATTTCCCTCAAAGTCAAAGACTTCTCCTCGAATCGTCGTGAAGACGATATGGTCCTTCTCGTCCTTGGCGAGAATCTGGCAGAAACGAATAACATGTCCCTTCATATCGCAATATTTGCAGACGTATTCCTGCCAGTTCCCACGTCCGTCTCCATTTCCGCGGCCTCTACCACGGCCTCGACCACCCTGTGGTTGAGTCTGTTGACCTTGATTTTGTTGTCCTTGGTCAACCTGTCGCTCCCCACTTCCATTTCCTCCGTTCTTGCTGCTAACTCTTTGTTTACGAGAAGTACCTTGCCCTCCTCGTATCTGGTTCAAGGCTTTCCTCTCAGCCTTGGTCAACTTACGAGGGGGTTCCCTTTCCTCCTCGCTCTCACTCTCACTGCTCCTCTCTTTAGTGACAGGCTCCTTCCCTTTTCTCTTCCCTGTTTTCGCCTTGGCCATCATCACTTGAAGTTTTAACTGTTCCCCCTTCATACTGCTCATCATTTCCCTCCTGTCAGATAAGGTCTTATAGACCTCCTTATTCTTGTTTGTCCCCAACTGTAACCTCTCCCGATTCTCCTTCTGCTGTTTCAACAGCCGACAGAGGATCTGGTCGAAGTCCCCGGCCAATAAATTCTCTCGAATTTTTGGCCAATCATACCTTTCTTTCATGCCATTCACCAACTTTAGTTGTTCCACCTCCGTGAAAGTCTCCAGGAAGATGAGGCAACGATCTTTATCTGGAAGGTCAGGAACTAATTTCGCCACCCGCTCGAATTTAGTAAGGAACTGCTTTGTTGTACCAAAGCTTTTCCAACTAACCTTACTCAAATCGGTCAAGTCCAACAGTTGGTCGCTCAACTGGTACTTTTCTAGCAGTTTCCTTTTGAATTATGCCCAGTCCAGCCAATCTTGTACCAATTCCTCCACCTCTTCCTTGTATTGGATCTTGCAGTATCTCTTCACCATTCGCAGCATCTTTTCATTCGACCATTCTATTAACTTCCCAATTGCTCGAACTTTTCTGCCTATCCCGAGGTGTTGTTACCATCAAACAATGGAACGTCAATCTTCGGGATTTAATCCTTATCTTCGGGATTTAATCCTTCTGGGACTGCTGAATAATTATTACAAGCTCCCGAATGTCATTGTTTCTCCCATCCTGATTGTCGTTGTTACCAGCCATCTTGAGTAAAGAAAAACAACAACATTATTAACAGAAATCAGTCAATTCTTATAAATAATATCTCATAATTTTGGGATCAAATTACTGACTTTTTCTGAGGTCAAACAAGAAAAAGAAAATAACTTCTTCCTCCATTAATCACCCAAGTGTCGTTCCGCAAGGGACAACAGTAGTTTGTCGTTATTCCCCGGCAACGGCGCCACCTGTCGAGCGCATCGGCCCTCTCGTGAAAACGAGGGCCCTCCCGGCCATGTCACGCAGGAGTTTACCTAAAACATACCTTTTAGAGATAACTCGGGAACGACGCATACTGTTCCGTGAACCGCCGAGACGGACGCGGTTGCTTTGCTCCTTCGCCGCTCTAGCCGGGTGCACCAGCTATACATCCCACGGTCCCCTACAACAGGACAGGTTCCCGCGGGGCATAAGCTTGCATCCCTAAGGGACTGTCACCACCCTTAGGGGCGTATCCCTACCGAAATAGTGATCCAYGTGCGAAGGYTTTTATGTGCAATCGCAGAGRTARATCAGTCGAKGGCGTTTGCTCGTCTCGCTGCAGTATAGGAATTGTTTGACTAAACGCYGAATGAACCCGTGCGTCSTTYGTTSCYTGGGGCGCYGATCTCCCAAGTACGAAGTGTACGCCGGTSGACTAGGACATTYTCAACCAAACGTGAAAACGATCCTTAGTCCCTTGCAATCAAACAACAAAAATCCTCATACTTAAAACAAAATCWCACAATCCAAATCATTGACTTGATGAGCTGRTCTGCCAAAGTGTCTCTTTTCCAACCTGTATRWCTGAAAGAACTTTTATATTGTCGTTTRAAGATTATTAATTTAAAGAAATAAACTAAAAATGATTTTCTTGTCATGACAACTGAAACTTGTCATGAATAGCTTCTGTAAATAAATATCACTTGCACCATGCAGATTAACAAGTGATCCGGTTTCTGGTCGATGTTTGAACTCCCG